GGGTGCTGAAGGGGTGGAAGGAAGAGCTACAGGATGGTGGGCACAGCGGGCAGAGAGCTACTGGAGCTACTGGCACATGGATTCGTGCCCAGGGCTACTAGTAATATAATCTATACTAATAATAGACAAATATGTAAATTGACTGTCCATGATGCCCACAGCCAATCAGTGAGTATGCAAATTAAGCCAACAAAGATGGCGGGCCTGTGGGCAGCGTGCATGCCATGGTGACAACACAGGTGGTCCTGCATCGCCCCAGCCGCTCCGGGCCTCTGGGCAGCGTGGGAAGGCAGAAAGGCAGCTTCTGGCCAGAGCGAAGGCAGAAAGGTGGCTCTGGGCCAGAGCGATGCGGTGCTGGCAGCCAGGGGAAGGAAGGCCCATTCTTGCACGAATCTTCGTTCATTGGGCCTTTAGTAATAATAATATAAGAATAAACTTTCCTGTACTCACAACTATAGACCTACTTTTGCCCACCCCTGTAGGTCTAGGAGTGTAATTTGCTGGATCACGTGTCAACTATAACCAGTGGAGAAACTACCAGACTGTTCTCCAAAGTGGCTGCACCATTTTACATCACCAGCAACAGTGTATGAGGTTTCCAATTTCCCCACATTTTCCTCAACACGTGGTATTTATTGTCTGTTATTTATTATAGCCATCCAAGTTTTTCTATCAACTTTCAAGCTTAGGAAAGGGCTGTTACTTTAAGCACCAGAAAGGGGAAGTTTGGTCTCCTGGCCTGTGATCCAGGTAGAAAGCCTGGCTCTCCACTTACTAGACACACTTAAAATTGTGTAGAAAATGGGGGTAGTAACATTTCTTAACCCTAGGGTGGTGGTGAGGGTTAAATGAGCAGTTTGTATTAGTTTCCTAGGGCTGCCACAATAAATTAGCACAAACGGTGGCTTCTAAACAGTAATTGATTCTCACAGTCCTGGATCCTACAGCATGAAATCAAGGTGTCAGCAGGGCAATACTCTGAAGGCTCTATCCTTGTCTCCCCCAGCTTCTGGTGGCTACTGGCAATTCTTGGCACTCACCACTCCAATCTCTGCCTGTGTGTCTCTAAGTGTCCAAATTCCCATCTTCTCTCTCTTTTTTTTTAATCCTCACCCGAGGATATTTTTCCATTGATTAGAGAGAGTGGAAGAGAGAAAGAAAGACAGAAATATTGATGGGAGAGAAATGCATTGATTGATTGCCTCCTGCACCAACCCCGACCAGGGCCTGGGCCGGGGAGGAGCCTGCAACCAAGATATGTGCCCTTGGCTGGAATCGAACCTGGCACCCTTTGGTCCACAGGCCGACGCTCTATCCACTGAGCCAAACCGGCTAGGGCTCCATCTTCTCTTAAAGACGCCAACCACTGGATTAAGGCCCATCTGCTCTAGAATGACCCCATCTTAACTTGATGACATCTGCAAAGGCCCTGTTTCCAAATACGCTTGCATAAGAACTGGAGCTTAGGACTCCAACATCTTTGGGGGGGAAACAAATCAACCCATAACATATTAAGCTCAATGATTTATAAGTTTATACTTTAGGTTAAAATGCCCTATTTTTATTTTATTATTATTTTTAAAATATCTTTATTGATTTCAGAGAGGAAGGGAGAGGGGGAGAGAGAGAGAGAAACATCAATGATGAGAATCACCGATCGGCTGCCTCCTGCACACCCACCACTGGGGATTGAGCCCGCAACCCAGGCATGTGCCCTTGACCAGAATCGAACCCAGGACCCTTCAGTCCATAGGCCGACACTCTAGCCACTGAGCCAAACCGGATGGGGCTATTTTTTTTTTTTAATCACATGGGAAGGAGTATAGGAGAGAACAGAGTAGGATACTAACCTCATAGTGGCACCTGAGTCCCTAGTGCTTGGTGTCAGGTGAGGCCTTGTGCTGGGGAAAGCAGGGGAGCACTTAGGACTGGAAATGGTGCGTTGGGACAGGAATGAGACAGGTTAACACAAACACGGAGGAGGGGCTGTCTCCTAAGGACTCAGCCGTGGCATTCAGGTCCTTTCTCAGGGCCTCTTCAGTCTCCTTTGATTCTCATGTTGGGCCTCTGGAGCCTAAAGTCACTGAGGCCCCTGGGAGGGGAGGGGCAGAGATGAGGCCTAGCGGCGTGGGCTTCATCCCAGCGCAGATTTGCCTACCTTACACTTGGCTGGTGAATTCAGCCACCAGAGACCCCATTCCATGCTCTTCATTTGTTCTTTTTGGGTCAAAGAATCAAAAGGTTGGAGAAATAGTCTAATTGTCTCTAAACCTGGGGTAAAACTGAAACTTGTCTTTGTGGACCTTGATTCCAGAGGCAAGTGACCCTGGGGTTTGCATATCCCAGCCCCCAAGAGTTTTTTTTTTCTTGTTCTGCAGTCTCCCAAGGATATTAAATTCAGAAAGGAAGTGACTCTGTAAACATAGCTCACTGTCCCCCTCCCCCCCTTTTTAAAATCGATTCATTTCTTGGCTCCCTCAGACAAATTACTTAGAGGCAGGGCTTCATGGGAGGGGAGAGAGAGAGAGAGAGAGAGAGAGAGAGAAACACCTGGGAAGGCAGAGCTAAAAGAGGCCACATCCCAAACTTTCAAGCTGCCATTATACTCAGTTTCCGCATATATATTGGGAAATATCCCAAACAATCACAGGAGTGGAGCAAATGGTGCATGCCCTTTCCATTTACATCACCCAGATGGAACAGTTTTCAGGACTTGCCACTCTTGTGTGGCTCTCCACTCCTCCCCCCCACTTTCCTCCCTTTGCGAAGTGTTT